AGAGATAGGAATAATTTTAAATCTATTTAAGAGTAATGGACCCTTAAAGTTGTCTGTTTTTTTTATTTATATATATATATATATATATATATATATATATATATATATATATATATATATATATGATATGATAAAACATGTATACACACATATACTTACATATACAGATATATTTTTTTCTCAGGTATTATAAAAACAATGCTCAACATTATATAACAGAGCTACTAAGTACATATTAATGAATATACATAATATCCCTCGTCAATAACAGAACTCGGAGTTTCATGCAGATACACAATCTTCAGGTGCAGGATATTCATTGACTGTTAGGCATTATGAAATTTGTGTTCTCATGGTTTTGATTTAATTGTGTGTTAAGACTTGTTCATTTAATTATTTGTTGGCTATAATATTTAAATTAATCTCTATCTATAAAAGGCAGGATGTGTGTGTGTGTGTGTGTGTGTAACAAATGCACGGCCGCAATTTTCAACGGATTTGCACCAAAATTTACATGCACATGCTCCAAGTCAACAGGAAGGCCAAGACTAACTTTGCATCAATAGTGGAAATAATCGATTTTTTCATGCTTTTCATGCTTCTTCTTTTTCATGTAGTTCGCGGCCATTTTGTACTGTCCAGAGTGAGAGCCAATAGAGGGCTGTCACGAATAGGCAGGAAGATTCTATTGGCCAGCATAAGAGCCAACAGCTGACTGACATGAATGTTAACTAGCATGCTAGCATGCAAAAAAATCAATAGCTGCATTCATCACAAGTGGGAAAAATTTAAATCTGCATGGCACTTTACTCCAATTGGCTCATTCGCTTGCTTGAACTCAACGTTGATTCCGATTCCACAGAACTGAGTTGGGTGTGAAAAAGTATTTGTTGTTAACATTCTTTTTTCATTCAGTTTTTCCAGTTACGAGTCCTTTTTTAAAGCTGATCGTTTTGTGTTCATTTTGTTTAGTTCTTTTTTTGTAACAGATTTAATGTTTAGTATAGAGCTTCGAAAAAATTTGCAGTGTGAGATAGGCAAGAAGTAAGGCATGTAGCAACATCAGCACACCAAAGGGCATTCCTTTAAAGGTAAGGAAGGGCAAAAATATTTTAAATCAAGTGATAGCGATTGCTGTATGAGTTGTAAGATTTTTTAATCAAGCACGGGCAACGCCGGGCCATGCTGCTAGTTATTTATAATTTATATCAATCAAAGTCCTAAGTTCAAAAGATGAAAAATTAAAAAATTTTTGAATTTACATAGATACATTATGTATCAAAGGGGATTACTCACTTTTTTGCATAAAAATTATTATTTAGTATTTTGTTTGTGCGCTTGCTTAATACATTATTATGTTGTGGTATATAATTATTGATGGTTTTAGTACAGCTATAGCTTACCTTAATATTACTTTTGTTGAAAATCTTTTTTGATGATGGAGAATGACTAAAGTGTGAATTAAATTTAGAAACATTTTACCTACATTAGTACTAATGTAAAGTGAGTTGAACCATATGATGTTATGTTTACGTTGTTTTAGCTTTCTTTTATCTTTATTGTTGTTTCTTTCTACATACTCTAATTTCATTTTGTGGTTGCTTTTTTTCTATCGCTTTACTATATTTATGAAAACATGCTCCAAACATAATGAAAACATAGTTTTATCATCAAAATCTTTGTTAAAGATTGATCAAAGTATTTTTTGATTATTCAATTTTTTTTTTTTACTATATTAAAGACAATAGTGTCTGAAGAAAAAACATTTTCAACAAAAAATGAATTTTTACAAGACTTGTTTTCATTTTTTTTAAATTTTAAATTGAATAATTTATAAAGTTTCTAAAATTCATTTTCAATGTGATAATTCTTAGGAAATATTGTTACTAAGTAAAACTATATTTACTAATCATATATTGTAAAACTTATTACATTCTGATGACCCCGAATATTTTTAAAAGAATTTCAATTTGTTTTTGTATGTGTGGTTACATGCAAAATTTCTAAAGCATGGATGTATAAACTGATAAATCTAGCATTTAAAGGGCATGTGCTTTAAGGGTTGCCCCCCACTTACTGTGAAAAAAAAAATTTATCTGCTTCACCACACTTAACTATGAATACATTCAGCTTTCAATAAATTGATTAACACATCAGAAAGACAAGACCCAGTAGTTAAATGTTTGTATACAACATTTTATGCTATAAGTAAATAATATTTGTTTCAAATCAAATTAATTTAACTTTGCTAATTTTCTTCAAATAATGCCTCAGAAACATATATTTTATTTTTGCAAGATTTTTAAAACTGAGAATTAACTTTTGTTTACAAATGTCAAAAATGGCTGTTTTGATCAATTTTACTGAAAAAAAAATTCAATTCTGATCAATTTGTTTGAAATACACCATAGAATCTTTTGCTTACTGGAAATAGTAAATTTTAAATCCTTTAGCTTTCAATTAAAGCTAAAATGGAAGCTTCAAGAAAACTTTTCCATTTTTAAAAATTCATTTAAATCTTAAATATACCAAATTAGTGGAGGAGTGTGTGTGTGTGTGTGTATATATATATATATATATATATATATATATATATATATATATATATATATATATAAAAAGTGAAAAACTTTTGTGTCATATTTTGTCCTTTAGGATTTCATTCAATTGAAAAAAAGTGATGTTTATGTTGATGCAACTACACATGTGCATGAAAGAGAGGAGATGATCAGAATTTTAAATGTTTTTTAATATATGTATTTGGGTATATAGTTTAGCTAACACATCTCATTGAGATTTTTCTTTTTCTCTTTGTTGCTTTTGTTATTAATCATGCCACATTGTGTTGTAAGAACCTGGACATAAATTTACTGTGGATGATGTAGCAATTAAAGCACTTTCTATACACTTTTGTCTTAGTAAAATGCTCTTTTAATTAGAGTGATATTTTTTCAATCAAAATTATGGTCAGATTCATAAAATAAAAAAACAAGAAAAACATATTTAAAAAAAAATCTAAAACACAAACTTAAATTTCTCAGCATCCTCTCTTTTTCGTGTGTATGTGCATCAACGTAAATCCCTTTTTCATCTGAGGAAGTCCTAAAGAGCAAAAAACACACCACACAAAAAAAAATTTTCCTTTGTTATAGATTTCCTTAACATAGTTCTTGATATATAAAAACTTATGTATCGTTTTCCCATAAACAGAACTTTATGGGCACTGTTGAATAATTTGATTACAGTATAGTTTCTGTCCAAATTGAGTGTTATTTCTGTAAATTTTAAATAGTAAAAAAATTACATTTTCACCAAATTGTTTTTCCACTAATTTGGTTTATTTGAAATTTTGTAATTATTTATATCAGAATTACTGATACTAATAATAATTATAATAATAATTCAACTCATCAACTTGTAAACTCAACTCTCACCTGTTTGCTTAAAAGCACTTCCTGCATAAACTTTCATTGTTTGAAATGTAACATTTTGTCATTTTTCCTTTAAAAAAAACTTTTATTTACAAATGTTTCAGACTGTTCACAAATATACCTGATTATGAATATTATCATTAATTTTAATGAGAAGTTATGGTTCTTTATATAAGGAAGTGAAGTTGCTTTCAAAAAGTTTCCTAATTAATACATACAACCTACCCTCTAAGTCATACGTTTTTTAAAAAAGACAAATTCACTTGGAAGGTAAGAAAGTTTGTTAAAAATACGAGAATTTCCTTTAGAAAAAGTCACTCAGATCGAATTGTAACCTCAGCATACTGACCAAATGGTAAAAACTTCAGCAGACCGTGAGCTGAGGAAGGTAATTACCAAAACTTGTGGAGATTTTTCGAAACAAAATGTGAAACTAAAGAACGCACTTTTTATTGTACAGCGTTCAAGATTTTGTTGCGATGAAATTTTCTCATTTAATTGAACTTTTTCTTTTACTATCAATTTGATTTGCTTTAGCACTGCATTAAATTTAAATCAAACAAAAAAAAAATTAACTCTGGTCCCATGTGTACGTGTGTGAGTCCCAAGTCACATTTGGATCGAGTGGAAGATCTGTTAAAATTTAAAGAATTAAAATAGATTTAATAAATAAATTTCATAGTAATTCAAGTAACAAAAAATTTTATAGTTACAATTCTGAAATGAAATGTTTTTAAACAAAGTATTTTTTATTTGTTTGTTAGGTGAAAAAATACTAGGTTCATTTTAAACTCATTAATAAGGTAACTACAACAGTAACACTATGAGTTTTTGTATCAATTTTTGTTTAGTTAGTTAATTCACAATGTTGAATAAAGATATTATTTTCTCTACTTTCTACAATAATTTGATAAAAATCATAAAAATTAGGAAGCCGGAACGACTTCCACATGTTGGATAAAGGAAAATAATTTTTTTAATAATGCAACAGTTGATATTGTATTGTGATTACTTTTTTGTTCTTTTTCAAAATTCGTTGTTGTTGTTTTTTTATTTATTTACGAACATAAAGATCGACAATGAACTGCAGAAATTATTAGAAATTAAAAAACTGTCTAACATGGATTCTGCACTATCATTCAATCAATATTAATTTGTAAAAAATTTAAAATATTGCTTTTATTTATTTTTTTACTTAGTACTACCTTGAATGAGTAACAATATCTGTCTTCTGGTGGTTAGCAAAAATATTAACATTTTCTTTTTAAATTATGATCACGTTTCCGAAATTCAGACGTTTCTAGACACAAATTTTTGCGAAGAAATAACTTCAGGTTTCATTTTCTAAAAAAAAAAATTATTTTCAATTTATTTATTGCTTTTTGTTTGTTTTTTTTATTAAAACAAGAAGAGTTACAATTTACTTATTGCAAAATTAAAATATTACTAAAAATAAGACAAGAAGCCCTGTTATGCCTTTTAAGTGGTAGTCTGTGTCTTTATAAGTAAATATTTTATTTACCGGAAATATAAAAATTGTTCTTTTTGTCAGTACAAAGTTTTGTTTACCTTTTAGTTTTCGGTTGTGATTCATTGTGGGCTTTTTTTGCTAAACCACTTGTTTCATGTTCAGAAGCCGATTTTTCGAGTGCTTTTCCGCCAGTTTTACTTCTGGGGATGACAGCCATTTTTAACTTAGGCTGAGAATCAATTTTTAACCATTCATTATAATGTTGCAAAGTAATTTCAGGAGTGAGAATGTTTGTATTGATGGACATGATTTGTCTTCCTTGAAAAAAAAACACTTCTAACATCCAAGAATCAATGTAAGAACACCGTAAAGCTAGCAATGTTTTTACAGCTTTTACTTCCGCAGATTCATATTTATTTTCAATACTTTGTTTAGTTTCGCTTTTTCTTATTAAATTAAAATTTAAAAATAGAAAAGAAAGGAACATTAATAAAAACTAATTTTAATATTTTCCCAATACTAAAGTTTATAGTATCATTTTATTTGATGTTGTTACAATGTAGACAGATAAGAAGAATATCAGATTTTTTTAGTCGGAAGCCAAAGAAACCCGAATGAATGAATCATGAATGATTCTCTTAAAATTTCTAATTAAAAAAAAAAAAAAAACTTAACTAAGAGACGACAGGCAAAAGAAAAAAAATTAAAAAGAACATTTTCTACTGCTCACGTTAATTATTTTTTTAAGAAGCCAAAAATTAATAATTAACTCACTTAATTGCAAGTTCTGTTGAAATTTATTTGTTTTCACTTCATCAGTATTATTATAAAAGTAAAACTGATGTCAGATTTTATTATGCAAGTTAATGTTTTTTTTACACAATAATATTGGTATTATTAGCCAACTGATGGTGACAAATCTTTCAGGCGATACTTATATAAATATAAATATTTTTATAAGAAAGAGGTGTAAAACAAGGATATGTCTTCTCCCCAGACTTATTCAATCTATCCAATGAGGCGTTTTTTTTTGGGAGGGGGTTACAATGACGTTCACCCTGTCCAAGGCTCAATTGCCACTCAAGGTAGAAGGTTACTGTGTTATAAGCAGTAATGATTACTGATTCTTGTTTTTTTTAGGCTCATTCAAAGAGAAAAAATAAAATATTTTGATCCATGGTTCACTAATTGGAAGATTTGTGGTAGTCACCTGAATCACTTAATCCTTCATTGGCACCACAATAAACCACAGCAACCAAAATATCTTACCACAAATCAGCCCACCACTTTGACCTCAATCAACCAATTTACCAACCTACCTTACCAGGCACTGGTGTCAATTTCAACCATGAAGAAAGGCACATGTCAAACCTCACCAATGACAAATCCACTTTAGACCTATCTTCTGACCCCAACTGTGACCTTGGCCAACCAACCCAACAAATCAGTTAACTTCTGACCCTACCAACAACACCCTTACACCTTGATGGAATCATCCATATTTACTACTCACCCCTGTGTGAAAATACACTCTTCTACTAAACCAGCTTTAGCCAATCAGCACTTCACGTTTTAAATCTCGACTTTTCATTGGTTGAGACAACACAAAATGTGTAGCAATTGTCTAAAATCTATTTTCCCACTCAATGATTTTGAGTCAATTTTAGATTCAAGAAATGTATAAAAAGGATCGTTCGATCCAATTTAATCAGTCAGCCACACAGCTTCTGAGAGATGCCAAACAAATCCACACGTTTCATTATACTGACCTAAGGAACTTTTCACGCATCAACTGCTGACTCGGTAATCATCATTTCTCTCTCAAACTTTACCTACAAATTTCTGAGGAAAGTGATAATATTCACTACCAAAATAGAAATTGTAATCAGCAACCAGATAAAAACAAACCAGTCCAAGGTGAAGAACTCCTGAAAACTTAAGACATTTATTTCCTACTTTAATCATGCACAAAAACTACATTTATTTCTGCATTTATTTCTGCATTACTGACATTTTCCATCACACATGATTTAACCTTGTTTAAATACATGAACAATCTTGAACTGTGAACTATTAAGACATCAAATCAATACATGGTCAATTTATAAATTATTCAATCACAAGTTCACTATTTGTATATAAATTTTATATAAATGTCTATCGTTATTGTTGAAACCTAAAATACCGTTGTTTCTTATTGAATTGCCTTACGATTGGTTCGTCTTGCATGCTCATTTTTTTATATTGTTGTGGATGAATACTTTTGAACACACCTATTATCTAGCCTTCTTACCATTCAAACCTTCTGATACTTTCTAACTCATCACACATCCCCAACAACCTAATTGCTTTTCTTACCAATGGCAACTAAGGAACCATCTCCAAACAATTTTTGCAAAATTTCAAACAGCTATTATTATATATTATATTATTATATATATCTGGCAAATACATGCTGTTTAAAATTTTATCCTTGTTTGTTCCTATCTTTTGCAACCAAAGATAAGAACAAACAAGGATAAAATTTTAAACAGCATGTATAACTGGTGTCATGAGCATGCAGCAAAAGAAATAGATGTAACATGTTCCTTTCCTTTGCAACCAAATACTTGTCAGAGTGATCTCCTCCTAAATTCTGACACCACCACTTGGGGGAGCTATCCCTAAACTATAAATACTTGAGAATACTTAATTTTCTCTTTCTTTCTTTCATTTTCACAAACTGCAACCATGTAATGCTCTTGCAGAAGATATGCGTTGCCACTTGTGGGAAAACACCATGAACATTACTACACATGCACGTACATAGGAACATTCACTCACACATTTCTTGGAACACAAACTTTACACAATTATTTGTTACACATACGCATTATTGTTTTTGTAATTTGTATCTGTTTGTTACACACATACCTGTTTGTACATTTATATCAGTTTTGTTGTTTTCTTTTACATTTCTTTTGTGAGTCTGCCATGTATGTAGCAGAGTTTATTTCAGGAGACTACATGTGTTACATTTCACAACACGTATTAAACACACAGTCTACTACACACTTGTTATAATATGAAGAAGATATGAGGGGAAGATAATGATTGACCATAGACTTGAACAGGTTAAGATTGTAGTGATTGGGAAGCATCCTCTTGAGAGACAGTTCTTGTTATATTCCGTGCTAAGGGAATAAATACTTAACACCAGGTGGATAATAGAAGAAAGTTTTATTGTACACAACAAGTACAATATGAAAGTCAGTACAGTCATACACACAAGTCAATCTAGTAGTGAATGCCCCTAATTGGAAGGTCGGACATGCTTGCGTTTTCACTCTCTCACTCTTCCCCCGGTCTCTCGTAGACAGTTGACTTTATAGGTGCTTACTACCTATAGTGTAATCATTCATGGGGGGGGGGGTGACTGGTTATTCCATTACATCAGTTCTACAAAGCAGCAGTTCATGGGAAAAAGATGATCAGTGGGAACTTACATCACAAGTGGTTCACGACAATGTGAATGGTATGGCAGGTCTTAGCCATGAAGGTTAGAATTGATCAAACTAAGCAATGTAGTCCATCTGAACACTTTCCATAGACATAGTGATAGAATAGCGACATTTCTTCTATGGGAAATGAGTTCTAGGGTGGAAAATAATTCATCACCCACAAGAGTACAGAGATGCTTTTGAACTCTATTAAGACTAGAAAGTAAAAACTGGGAAGCTCCTGCCCATATATGGTGACAGTACTTTATTTTCAGCCTGATTTGGTTTTTGTAAAGATAGAGGATAGCAGGAGGAGTCAGCTACTTATTGGAGCGGTACAGGGAGCCAACCATTTTAACTGCATCCTTAGCAATGGATTATATATACAAGTTCTACTTGAGGTCTAGGTTGAGTTTCAAATAGGCACTCAAGGAAATTCAGTTATCCAAGTTTTTATATTAAAAATCTGAATTCCAAACAATAATAAAATAAAACGTGTATGTCGGTTAAATAAATCATTTGTATTAAAAAATATATATACATGAATTCAAAAGAGCTAAAAACGTATTAAAAATAGTCTATCAGCGAGTTAAAGTCTTTGAGTAGTTGGCTCACTGAAAAAGGCTATAGTTTAGACAAGACTTTTCAACAGTTGGTTTCACATTAATAAAAGTAGTGATAGAAAAAAGACTTTTATCATTAGTGAAAATTCACTGACTGTCTTTGTTGTTGTTGGAGACGATTCATCTGAAGTTGCTAATTGGCCAGCAGTGAAGATTCAGCATCCAAGCTGCTGCTATAGCTGATTTGTTTGAAGTTGCCAACACATTTTTTCATCACGCTATAGGAGGAAAGAAAAAGCTATGAAGCCACATAGACTTGGAAGCCATCACATCTCTCCTCTTTGAAAGTAGAAATCTGTGGGTTTTTATAAGAAATATTTCCCAAAAGTAGGCTCAAGAAAATAGGGTTATAGTTTTCTCTAATTGCTCAAATATTTTACATGATGATGTTAATTTCTAACCAATACACATTTTGATTTAAACAGTCTTTGTTGTATTGTGGAATCATTTTGATATATTTGTAATATTTCTGCTATTGAGTAGAAAATATAGTTTGGGTGTGTTTTAATATGGTACATATGTGGGTATATGATTGTCTTGGAAATAGGGTCTGTTTCCTATAGAGCCTCTCTGAGTGAATACGTTCATTGTGATATGTGAATCTTCAGAGTCCACCCATCAACAATGAATCAGCAATAGTTTAGTTTTCAAAGCATTGAAATTTTCATAAAACTAGTTTTACATAAGTTCTATATGTTGTACATTTTTTTAAGCTTTTTACCCCAAGCAAGGCAGGAATGCCACTAGCATGCAAGGGGTTACAGAGAGTAGGAGCAAGAGTAAAGAGGTATGATAGAGGAAAGGATGAAGAGAAGGAGAAGGGGAATAGATCAAGGCATCTGGAGATGTTGATTGACATTGCATTTGAATATTTGGAGATTATAGCCATCAGGGAAGCAAGTAAGAGGAAGGGAGTTCCACAGATGGGAAGTGTGAGACATGAAGCTAATGGAGTAGAAGAGACAGCTACATTTAATCACTTTGACAGTGAAAAGGTGGGACTGAGATGCCAAATAATTATCTTGAATGCCGTATCTCTGAAGCTTACGAAGGAGGCTAGCATGTCAAACCCTATCAAGCGCTTTAGAGATATCTAGAGCCATGGCACGAGCTTC